CTACCTGAAATTCCTCGAACGGTTCTCCCAAACCGATGCTCGCTATTTGCCATGATATCTTTGTTGGTCTAATACGACTTGTAAATTTTTAATCACAGTGTCCAACTCCAGACACTGCTTGCCCATTCAGGAATTCTATCCCTTCTTCACTGACACCATCAATTAATGGAGACATCTTCATTATCTCGATGTTCATTCATCCTTCTACATTAAATACTGTCAATATTCCACAATGCTTCCTAGTAATAATTTCAACACTATCTGTAACATCCCGTTTCGGCAAAACCCATATTTCGATCGCTAGAAAGTTCGCGATTTTGACAGTATTTCGACGAAAATCGGATTATCGATCGATCGGATAAATATACTTATTAATTATATATATATATATATTATATAATTATTATAAATAAAAAATAATAAATGCAAAGCATAAGCGGCAACAGCCGCTATATATATACACAACTTTTCCCCCTCCCCTCCCCTGCCATTTCCATTTCCGGTTTCGCAACACCCAGAGAGAAGCAGAAACAGAGCCACACACAGGGAAGTCTCATAGCTCAATTTTTTAGCATTAATAATCTAAAAATCCCGTAAGTAATGCCTAATTCATCTATACATCGTGATTTATTGATTTAGAGTTTTAAAACGAGTTTTTGGTTCAGGAATTTCTTGAATTTCTATAAGCCAAATTAGGGTTTCGGAGTATCCGGAAGCCGGATTGAGCCCAAATTTCATATACGAGCTTCCTGCAGCGAGGTAATAAATCCTCTAGTTCTAATCCCTGAATTTCGACAATTATTTAGGTCGAGGTCCAAATCGCTGAATTTAGCTCCGGCTAGGGTTTGATGTGTTTTTATCAAGAATTTGACCCGGAGCCTATAACTAATATTGACGGGGATACTGCAGGGGATATTAGGAAGGTCTCGGATTTTAATTCGGGGTTCGTTCGTGAAATTGACGTTTTAGTACGGGAAGGTTAAACCGGTGTTTGAACGACCAGAACTGGTGATGGATTAGCACGGCATACCGGGTTTGTCGTATCACGATAATTATATTGATGCTTAGAATTGACCTAGGTGAACTAGAATGCCATGATTAGGGGTGTATATACTTTTATGCTAATAGTTGAATTTGTACAAAATGCATTTATGAATTGTTTGTATTTAAGGATTTTTCCCTTAAAAATTTAGATTTTAGATTAATGCATAAGTCATAATTCTAGGTGATATATCATATTAGACTCATGATAACAATTAAAATTTGATAGATTAAATGTTAATTTTTAGCACATAGTGCATGACACACACTTATCGTTATGGGTGGACTGTCGAAGCCATCCATAAAACATAAAAACTAAATTAAACTATATGTAATATTTAGGATAGACTAAAATTTTAGTATTTTAACTAAAAAAGAGTTAGAAATTATTGATAATAACATAAAAAATGACTAATATTTTGATGCATTACTAAAGATTTGGCTAATTAATAACATGGATAAATACAATATAATATCCAAACATTTCGTTTTAAACAAAATGATAGTCAAACCTTTACGAAAATAATTAAATAGCCAAACCGTCAACTTTCCGTCTGGTCGACTATTAGTTGACTCTGAATAAAAACTGAGCTTGGCTAGTTTTTGCTGATGTGACAAGAAGTCAAACATTTGAACTAGCCACATATTTTTCTACAATTTGATTTTTTTTTATTTAGTAAATAATATAATAACACATTATCTATTCGAAACCCCTCCTCTGGTTTAATCCCTTCTGTACCCCCTACAATGGAGAAACCCAAGTCGTCGCTCACCACCAAATGAAAATTGAATCCTCTATCACCCAATCTGAATGACGTCGTCAACCACTGTGGGCGACCAGATGGTTTTGATGGTCAGCTCGCCGAATATGGTGAAAGAAGTTATCCTTCGAGGCAGTGAAAGCGAATTCAAATTCTCCACCTGCAGATTCTGTCTAGTCGGAGTTTACACCTACGGATTCTCAACATTTGGATTCCCGATTGTCGTTGGAGTTTACAGCAACGCGATGCCTTGTCCCTGTCGATGGGCTATGACTGAAAATCCAAATCGCAATGCATTGGCCTCTCCTCATTCTTCTTTCTTTACTATCCAAACCCCCCAATTTATTTTCTCCTCATCAACCCCGAAACTTGCCTCGAGAAACCCCAAACCAAACAGCATGGTAGCGAGTCTTTTTGGTATTTTCGATTACGTCGTAATACTCTGGCATAGAAGCGTTATTGGGCACCGACGACCGATTGTGCCCATCGATTCCCCTCCGATTTTTTCCATCATCCATCTTCTCCCGATTGTCCTTACCCTTCCCCTGAGGGACGGTGAGTTTGGTGGAGGTGGTGGGAGGAAAAAGGGTGCAGTGGCGATGGGATGGGTCGATGGAATGGGAGGGCTACGAGCTGGAGTTTTGATCAACGGTGGCAGAATTGGGAGAGTAAAAGTTTGGGGATGGTGGCGGTGGTCGTTGGGATTTTGGGGAATTTTTTATATTAAATCCCACGTTACACAAAGATTTACTGCTCAGCAATTAAGTTGTTATATTAGAGTCAATTAACGGTCAATTGGATGGAAAATTAACGGTTTGACTATTTTTTTTTTTGAAAGGTTTGGCTATTATTTTGTTTAAAATAAAAAATTTGACTAATAAATTGTATTTACCCAAATAACATTTTAATAGATTTGGATAACATAAAATAATCTGAAAAGATTTAGATAAAAAAGAGACAGTACTCTCATATTTATTAGTACTTTGTTGAGCTAGATGCGTAATTTCAATATCCTTTTCAATAGTTGAAAAAGTGAAGAATTGAAACTGAGCCTTCATGATTATGAAGGCAGTTAATTAATCAGCATGCATAAGAGCTTCCACAGTTTTGTGAATGAGCAACCCTTAGTCATGTGGCATCTTTCTTTCTCTCTTTTGGATTGATTCATTGCTCAATGACAATTTACTTCCCACAATATTACTTATATAACATGGATCAAGAAATAATGAATTGGATTGTAGTAGTTGTAACGTTGATTATCTTCCTCTACAAGCGCTTGTTTGGAGGAAAAAGTTCTGATAGATAATGCATCTCAACAAATAAACGCTCCTGTAAGTTCTGCTTCAACTTCTGTTGTCGAATCTGTAGTTTCGAATACACCAACATTGCCCCTTCCGCATAGAGAGTATGAGGTGTTTTTGAACTTCAAGGGTCTAAACACCCGTCGCCAGATTACCAAACTCCTCTATCGTTTCCTCGTCCACTTAAAAATTTGCACATTCAGAGATGATGATGAACTTCGGAGAAGGAAATGGTGTAGAGCCATAGGCCAGTCCAAAATTTATATTATGATATTGTCGGAGAGTTATGCTCACAACAAATAGTGCCTTAAAGAGTTTGCAGAAATTGTTGAAAGGTGGAGGCGAGACAAAAGGCACATCGTATTTCCTATTTTTTATATGGTGGATTCTAAAGATGTACGACATCAAACAAAATCCCACAAAGATGCATTCCGACAACATGAAATGAGGTTTGACGAAATGACCGTACAAAATTGAAAAGAGGCTTTGAAGGAGGTTGGTAGTTTAAAAGGATTGCACATCAAGAGCATAGACGAGTACGTAACCCTAACCCTTAATCCTTACTTTTGTTATATATTTTACCAAATCAACTATGGATCGTTTGGATGATAAATTATAACAGATCAATCTGACATAATAATCAAATGAACTATAAGGGTAGGTTAAATTGCTGAGTAGTTAATTGTCAGTCCTACCCTTTACTTTGCATTTCTTTTCCTTTCAACTCTTTTATCCAGCCTTCAAGAGTCAATTCACATAGAAAATAAGAGCAACAGGAAAATTATTCGCCCCTACTTTTCAAGTTTTTTATGCTTACTTTTCAATAGGGATGGCAACAAAACCCGAACCCACGGGTACCCACCCGACCCAACCCGGTCAATGCGGGTAAAAACCCGTGTTGACGGGTTTTGGGCCGGGTTCGGGTTTAAACCCGCTACACTATTCACCGGGTTGGGTTGGGTTTGGGTTTAGGTAAACCCGCCCCAAGGGTACCCGCCCACACATATAATTACTTTCCCGGTATATTTAATATTCTAAATAATATATCTTCTTTAAACAACTAATATTATTTATGTTTGTGGAGACATGTATAATTTGTTCTTTCTAATTGTTTAGAATGAAGTTGATATTATTGAGTGGAGAGTGAATAAACTTATTTGAAGAGGAAGAAGATTTCAATTAATCTTGTTGTTTATAGATGTTTATCTTTAATTTTGAACAATTTGTATTGATCATTTGCGGTTTGCTTGTATGTTCTAGATTGGTATTTTTTGTATGAATAATTTGTATGAGAACAGGTAGTATATGGACAATAAGGCCCTCTTCTAGTAGCTCTTGGACTTGGAAACGTATTCTTAAAGTTAGAACAGATGTTCAAAGGCATTTCTCAGGTCAGGGGAGCTCCTTGTGCTGGGATGACTCACCTATGCAGAGGTACTCGGTTGGTCTGGTTTGGGAATCCATTAGAGTGAAATGGCCCAAGGTGAATTGGCACAGGCTGATCTAGGGAAAAGGATTTATTCCTGGTCCCAGTTTCTTAGCTTGGTTGATTCTCCAGGATAGTATCATTACTAAAGATAAGCTGATAAAATGGGGCAAACAGATTGATAGTATGTGTGTTTTATGTTGCAATCTGTCTGAATCAAGAGAACAAATTTCTTTGATTGTTCTTACTCACGGGAGATATTAAGGTTGGTACACTGTGAGAACTAGTTTTTCAGGGGTGATTGGCCTGGAACTTTGTCAGTAGCATGTATGCTGAGTCACAAAAACACAGCTGCAGGAAGATTGGTGGGAAAGATTTCGTGTTTGAGTACTGCTGCTATCTGGAAAGAAAGGTGCAAGCGAGTGCATGGGGATACAGGTTGTAGTGCTAAGCTATTGGGCAAGATGATATTACAGGATTTACAGTTTATGTCTGTTAAATGACACTGTGAAAAGTGATTTGCAAAGGTTAGGGATTGGGTTTTGATTCTGTTTTGTTTTTGGTGTAGGAGTGTAGTGGTGTGGAGGGTTCCGAGATAGGTTGTCCTGTCTTGTTGTTTATTTTGCTTGCAGGGATGTTTATTCCCTTCGTTGTATCAGATGTTTGTTTCTTATTAATGGGAAGAACTGATTCAATGAAGGAAAAAAAAATTGATGTTAAATTTTTATTTTGAAAGAAATTTTTTATTATAAATTTTTTACCACAAAAACCAACGGGTGGCCATGAACCCGCGGATACCCAGCGAATTGGGTTGGGTTTGATTTTTTCAAACACAGCGGGTTTTCCCCAGGTTTTTTTGGCGGATAAACCCATGGGTTTGGGTTTCACAAAACCCGCCCCAACCCGACCCATTGCCATACCTACTTTTCAAATATTAATTGTACTCTATCGATATTTAATTTTGATTTTTTCATTCTGAGTAAACTAGATTAACAAATTGGATCGTGGATTTAACGGGGTATGATGAAAAAGTACTAAAAGAAAAATAAGGGCAATAAAATTGAACAAAATACCAAGGATGTAAAATAAAGTAAAATTTTTGCAATCCGACTATGGTACTCATGGGCATCTCGTGAGAACGTACTCACATGCGCCTAATGTCGTTGGATTCAGTGCTGACGGTCCATGATATTTGGATCAAAGCGGTGACAATTTATTTTCTTACAAATTGTTACCACTTCGACTTAACGAAGAATATGAATCGTCTGCGTACAATGGAACTACTTTAGTCGCTTATGAATAGGGGTGGTATTCGGTCGATAACCGGTAAACCGGTTACCGAATTTACCAGTTTTCGGTATGCCGACAATGGGTATGGGGCAATCAAATACCGATACCGGTTCGTAATCGGTTTACCGGTTACCGAATTACCGGTAAATGGTTACAAACCGATTTACCGCAATTAGGAGGCGAGGACGAGGAGGCGAGGAGATGGCGGCCTGGCGGCGGCGGGGAAGCCGGAAGGTCGCGGAGGGGGACTGGGATGGGCTGGCGTCACGCGTCAGCGAGGGAAGGGAGAGTCAGGGATTAGGGAGAGAGGGGAAGACGAGAAGAGGAGAGGTGACTCGTGGCTGCGCGGTCTGAGAAATGAAAACGAAAAGAGGAAGAGGAGAGCCAGCATGGAAGCGTCGTACCCAGAAGCCCTTCACGAAACAGGGGCAGGGAGATTGTGCGGTTGGTATTTGAATTTGAGCTGTTTCTTCGGCGGAGTAGTCAGCTCCGGAAATCGGGAAAACGTCGCCATCGCAGTAGCGGCGGTGGCAGTGGTGGAGGAGGTCGTCTTGGTACGAAGCTTGGATTCCCTGAGGTGGGCGTAGGTAGAGTAGCGAGGCCCCTGCTCCATGAAGTAGGCCTCGGTGGTGAGCTTGAGAGGGATGGGCTCGAAGGAATCGGAGGAATTTTGGGAGAGGATGAGGGAGATTGGGTCGAGGATGTTGAAGACGGCGGTGGATTGGAAAGTTGGGTTATGTTGTTGCAGAGCGCCGCTGCTGATGGATGCTGCCATGATTCTTCTTCTTCGATTTCGTTTCCTTTGCTCCTATGGGTTTTCGATGGAATGAATTGAGGATGTGGCAGCGCAGCGACTTTCGGTATCGGTATTACTGACTTACCATCGGTATTTACCGATACCGGGTCCGGTAAACCAACATTCAGATGATCCCACACGCCGATTACCGGTTCTGTAAAACGGTAAATCGCTTACCGGCTTACAGTTTGTCACCCCTACCTATGAACACGTTCTTACAAGATACAAAGTAACAATATTGAAAATTCTTGGGTAATGTCTATTTTTTATCCAAAACCTTTTCAAATTCTTTTATATAATCCAAACCTAATAAAATGCTATTAATTAGCCAAATCTTTCGTAATGCATCAAAATGTTAGCCATTTTTACATTATCATTAATAATTTTGTAACTCATTTCTTAGTTAGAATTCTAAAATTTTGGAATATTGACCTTCATGTGTGTCTTCCAAGTCATTATCATGTTGTCAAGTCAATATTACTAACAAAATTGATAACTGAAAGTTAACATTTGGTTCTTAGTATTTCGATAAGTTTGGCTAATAAAAAAGAATCCAAAAAAGATTTGGATAAAAAATAGACATTACCCAAAATTCTATGATGAACACCTCATTTTGGCATACGACCTAAAACCCTCTCTTTTTCAGGGAGGGAGGTATAGCTGACCTTGTTTCCAATATTGTTTGGTCACATTTAAGTAAGAACAATTATGCATTAGAGACTGGTGAGCTGATTGGAATCGAGGATAATGTAGAACAGGTGGTTCATAAACTAAGTCTAGACTCTGAAAGTATGTCTTCAATGAGCATTCACGGTAACAAGATTTCTCCATGCTTCGATCGTTGTAGTTTTTTGGAGAATATAAGAGAAATGCAACATCAGGCAGTTGGTAGCCTTAATCTGCAGAAGAAGTTCATCTCTAACATATTGAGATTCGATTTTACTGGATATGTGGTTGATGTTCATGAGGAAAGGTGAATTATAAAAGAGAGAGTTTCACAGTTCAGAGTTCTCGTTGTTCTTGATGATGTGGACGAGAAGTTTAAATTTGATGAGATCTTCGGAAATTTTGAGAATTTATTTGTAGGAAGCAGATTCAATTGCCAACCCATTATGGAAGCTCCCATGGTCATCTCACCAATTTTCATATGAACAATTTGCTAGTTTTCGATTTCTCAAACGGCAAGGTTGGAGACGATTGGGAGGTTGGAGCCTTAATCTGCAGAAGAAGTTCATCTCTAACATTTTGAGATTCGATTTTGCTGGATATGTGGTTGATGTTCATGAAGAAAGGTGAATTATAAAAGAGAGAGTTTCACAGTTCAGAGTTCTCGTTGTTCTTGATGATGTGGACGAGAAGTTTAAATTTGATGAGATCTTCGGAAATTTTGAGAATTTATTTGCAGGAAGCAGATTCAATTGCCAACCCATTATGGAAGCTCCCATGGTCATCTCACCAATTTTCATATGAACAATTTGCTAGTTTTCGATTTTTCAAACGGCAAGGTTGGAGACGATGTGGAGGTTGGAGCCACATCAAGGTTTGACTATCACCCAACAATTTCTTTAATTTCTTTCTTTTATGTAAAAACTAGAAAAAAATACATAAAGATGTAGTCAAAATTATGTTTTAAAGGTTAAAATTTTACGTTTATACACTTTTAGGTTATCAAAATATTTTTATATGAAATCACGCTTTTCACTTATAAGTATAGTCAAAATCTAAGCTTTAAAGATTGAAATCTACATTTTTATACTTTTAGGTCACCAAAATGTTTTTATGTAGAATCGCTATTTTGAGTATATTGGTCAAGACTCCTAATCCTTTTATTCCACTTTCAGTGACTACTTTCTGTAATGACCTAATGGATTTGACATAAATTTTTCGGGACAGGTAACGATGATTACTAAGGGCAAACTGGGTATAACAAAAAAAATATTAATTACTTTTTTTTAATAAAATATATTTATGAAATTACAAAAATATATTAATTACAATTTTCTTTCTCTTTCTTTCACTTCCACAATCTCCAGCCAAATCTCTCTTTTTTTCTCGATCTTTTCGTTCTTCGTTCAATAAAAAATAATAACATTGCAAAAATAAAAAAAATCAATACCAATCCGTTAAACAACCACTACCATTTCGGAAAATACCAATACCATTGTAGAAATAAATCAATACCAATTCGTTGACAACCACAACCACCTCGAAAAGCACCAATATATACCATTGCAGAAATAAATCGATACCATTATGAAAAACAATACCAGTACACTAAAAAAACACCATTGCAGATTTAAATAATACCAATACATGATGATCACTACCAATACAATAACATCAATACCAAAACCATTACATAATCAATACCAATGTGAAAAAAATAATACCACTGTGAAAAAATTAATACCAAGGTAAAAATACATAACAATATGAAAACTTCAGATCCGGAATCCAGCTGAGATGTTCTTCGTCGATCTTCTTGAGATATATATATATATATATATGGTGGCTACTTCGGTGCACTCACTTTATTGGGTGCATTCAGTGCACTCACCTCTAAAAGTGGTCATAATACATCAAATTTTGAAATTTAATGTGTAGCATTAGTCTCATATGATGATATAACACAGAATCACAACTAATCAACCCACTACCCTAACCTATTAACATCCAATTTTGAATCTAAACCCGAAATCCCAAATTGTGAACCCTAACCCTAACCCTAAATTCCTAAACCCTGAATCATTCAAATTAAGGTGAATCTTGAATGATTTTTGTACAAATTCATGTGGTTCTTGTTCATCATACTACAAGGAATGATTGACATCGTTTTCACATGAATCGTCTGCTCAGAATGACAATTATGAGGCGGGTGCATTGAATGCACCCAAAAAAGTGAGTGCACCGAAGACATAACCATATATATATATATATATATATATATATATATATATATATATATATAGAGAGAGAGAGAGAGAGAGAGAGAGAGGGAGATGTGAGAGGTGGGTGGTGGGCGGTGGGAAGGAAGAGGCGCGGCGGGGAAGGATGTGTGGTGAGGGGAGACCGTCGGCAGAGAGAGAGAGAGAGGTGGGTGAGGGGAGTGGAGGGAGGTGGGGTGAGTGGAGGGGAGGCGGCCGACGGGAGGAGTGGGAAGGGGGCGGGGAAAGATGTTCAACAATTAGGATTTGATTTATATATAAATTTGTTTTTTAAAATATATTAATTAGGTGTGTGATAACGATGTAATTGCACGTATGTGCACCCCTAATTCTTATCCGTTTGAGAGGCATAGTCGTGTATTTTGGCCTATTTTACGCCGGGTTGTGCTATTTTGTACTGGCCTCCAAGGGAAGGCTAAGCACGAGTTTCGGGGCATTCGGAAGTCATTTCGTCGAGCTGGAGCCAAAACACGGGCACACCTAAAACAGAACACGGCCGTGTTCTGTGACCGTGCTTTTACTGCCGATAGCTAATTCGAGTTTGGCAAACATGAGCTGATTACACGGGCAGGGCTGAGAATTTGCACGGCCGTGTCGACCAAAGCACGGCCGTGTCCACCCGAAAGCACGGCCGTGTTTCTCCCAACACAATGGCCGTGTAATTAACCCTAGCCAAAGCACGGGCGGGCTGAGGCAAAGCACGGGCGGGCTGAGGCAAAGCACGGGCGGGCTGAGGCAAAGCACGGCCGTGCCCTCAACCGTGCTTTGGGCACTGATGCCCTTTTAAGCAGATTTCAGCCAAAACAGAAGGGGATTCGAGTTTTAGAGAGATAGAACGATTCCTAGAGAGAGAAAGCGACGAACAAGAGTCTCCAAGTGCCCTACCTTGATCTTCATCACCATTGGAGGCCAGTTTGAGCTTGGAGAAGTGCCGATCAACGTCCAGGAGCAGGAATCCATCCTTCACAGTATGAATTCCGCGTCTGATTCTGCTTTTGCTTCTTTCTCCATGGAGTAGTTCTCCCATTCATCTGGGTATGGAGAACCCTAGATTTGTATGTTAGACTTTGATTGTATAAACCCAAGTACTGATTCTATGAGTTGATTATATTCGATTGAGGTTTGAATGATTGAATGGCATGAATCCTGATCAAATTCCTGTTGTTTCTGCTTTAACCTAGAATGAGAATATCTGCCTAGGTTGATAGAGCATCCTTGATTGAAGGTAGGGAGTTGGTGACTTTAGTCGAGGAGCCAACTCACTATTCTGTACCGGATTCACTCCGGTAGTGGAGGTTTTGTTTGTTAAGACCTCAATCTGTTTACTCATGTGGAGGTTAGTCGCCCGTTAGAGACTCAGATTGAGAGGGTCTGAAGACCTTTAGTCGAGACTTCAGGCTGTTTAAGAACCTTCCACAGTATAACTATCATAGAAACTGAACTTGGTAATTACAATCTGGCTTAACTGCAGTCTAGGGGGAACCATATCCGGGTGACCTCTCTTAACCTGAATACAACAGTTTACTTGCTTTGTTTGTTTATTAGTTTAGACTTGCATTAAAGTTTCATTGCTAGATAACAAGAATTCACGGAGTAGTCATCAAATCTAGGACCCGGGTTGACATTTAAACCTAACCCCGCTATACTACGCTTTAGGAAGTGGTTTCACTTGGCCAATTCCTGGAGTGACAGTAGAAGTGAGTCAAGTTTTTGGCGTCGTTGCCGGTGACGGCTAGGTTGTTGAAGAAAAGTGATTTCTGTTAATTTAGCTTTTCTTATCGCTTTGTTTGCTTTGTCCCACTTGTGCCTTCGCGGGTTTGCTTGCTTGAGTGTGTGCAGGTAGTGCATGACCCGTAGCCAGCCGGGAAGTTTACTGCCGTTGAATCCAGAGATTGACCGCACCTGTCTCCAACTCAGGAGACAACAACGAGCTAGACTAGCTACGGAAGAGCGCCTAGACGGCCACTTGAGTAACGATTCTGAAGAAGAGTACGGGATGGACGGAGACTACAATCAGCACCAGGGGAATCCTCAGCAGGCTCCCCCGGTGAATCAGGTCCTGAGGAATAACCC